TTCTATGTACAAGATGCTGTGCATATTTAATGAGTTTCAACATCAGCCCCCCCCCTTAACTTTCTTATTGATGTATAAGGGAAAAGACCCTTATGTTTTGTATTGTATTATAAAGGAAAGGTTAAACCTTATGTTTTACATTGAATTGTATACAAACAGTTAAGTTTTAGAGACAATTTCTTTATTTTTTGTTAAGCTTTTCTGGACGAGGACGTTCCAGGCTTTGCCCAGTCCTGTGTGGCGATAGTGTTCTAAACATGTAGGCTGGTTAGGAAACTAGCAGAATTTAGGGATTTCCCCCCAGTGAGCAATGTCACGGGGTGGAGCATTAGTGTACGTGCTGCGCGCAGAGATGTAATTGGCTGCGCGTCGCCCAGCATTGTTCTGTGTTCTGTGGAGACGTACACACGTGGTTAGACAGTCAGAGCGTTAATGGCAGTTCGTGGGTCAACAGTCAGTCGTCTGTGTGGGTGAAACGTGTGGTGTAGAGGTAAGCACGAACTTTGTAGAGTTTGTGGTTTGTGTGTGTGGTTTACTAGGATCGGCTTTGTGCCGTGGGTAGCGCTTACTAGGGAGCCGAGATCGCTAGGTTGTTGCCGGCGAGCTGTGTGCACTTAGCCCGGTAGCGTTTAGTTCCCCGTTGTAGAGGAGAACATAAGTAAGCCGTGCGTTGGGAGTAGCATCAGCCAAGGTGGTTGAGCGTGCCAAGTATCGGAAGAGGTGTCGGTGCTCCTGCTGTGGTGTACACCTTTACGGTGAATAGCGGTGAACGTGTACTGACCTTGCTTTCGTACGGCTGCGTTCCCTGTGTGGCTGTCTAGCGACTCCAGCAGCTATTGTAAGCCACGATGATCGTCTGCAGCTTAAGTTGTTACCTCAGAACCTCTATAATAAACTTAACGACTGTTGTAGTTTGTAAGCCTTGTAGTAAGCCATACAGCAGGCTTAATTAATAATAAAAGGTTTCTTCAAGTGCAAGAAGTTCAATCAGGTCATTTTCTTCCTCAACACATTCTACTTTTTTGGTATAACACTCTGGTCTTATCATACATTAATTCTGGCATTTTAGCCTGGGGTATCCGGTAATGCTTCCCGGGCTCCACAACTAATAGAAGTCTTCTTCTACAGAAAAGGGCTATCCGCGTTGTTAGTAATTATCATTATCTAGCCCATAACTATCCTCTCTTCAGCCATCATAAAACTTTAAAGGTGGCTGACCTTTCCATTCTTCAGCTGGATGCATTCATGTTTCAAATGGCTCATAACGAACTTCCGAATAGCCTTGCCTCTTTGTTTTCTAGAAATTGTTCCATCCACTTTCATTCCACTCGCCAAGCTCTACAATACCACCTTCTTCTTACCCGTACCAGCCTCTCATATAATACCGTCAAGTTTGCAGGTCCCAAACTCTGGAATTCTTTAGACATATCTTTTCATACTGCTCGTTCCCTTAGTCGCAGTGGAAATAACTGTTTGAAATTAATCAAATGCTCATCGATTATCTCTCTCAATAGCGTTAATGTAGCACAAGCTATAACAGGAGACATAAGAATATGATATATGTTCAAAAGCCCAACAATGATTCTGTAAAAATCATTATCAGTTGGTAAGAGTCCTTTCCATATGAAAGGAAGTACCTTAGCAAATACCATTATCTGACTGGCAGTTTGTTTCATTCTCGAGTCATCTGAAGTTAATACAACCCTTTGAATTTTACAAAGCTTATCCTTTTGATTGTAATAACTATATGGGAAATGTTTCATTTTCATATGAAAGGCTCTAGTGTCAAGATCGCCTTGTTCATAAAAATGGAAAAGTATCTGCCTGATTTCATGCTGAAGGACACCTTCGAATATGACGTGCATAATGTCTTGAGGTAACTTTTTGGTAACATTAAAGCTTGGAAAATCTTTAAGAATGCTTAATCTATTAATGTGTAAGTTGTTTTCAGGTGTTTTCTCATGTATTCAGTTGCAGCACTATTTATTTCCTCACAATGCTGCCGGTGGGAATTTTTATTTCTAAGCTGAATGTGGTTTTCAGTAAAATGTTCCTGAAGCTCTCCATCTGAACATTCACAGTGTATACACTTTGCATAAGCACCACCAACTCCTTCTTTAAAACCCCAGAGCTGATGACTAGCTGATGTGTCAGCAACTACTGCAAGTAATGCACCTTTCAAAAGTATATGTTCCCCGGTATATCTACTGAATTGTACTCCATCAGAGAGTCTCACCCTATCATCATAAAATGGTTTCAAAACTTTATCAACACTATATCGATGAATAATGTGAAAAGATGTAACTGATACGAGGCGTATGGCAGCTAACCTTTTTTATAAGTCTATGTTTGCCAATGTAAAATAAAACATTCCCAGTTTGTGAATCGATGCCCTTGTGCTAATTGGGTTGCAAACATCTATTTCAACAAAATACAAAATGACTTCGACAGCATTACCGTTTTGATACACTACATGTTGTCTAAAAACATCGCCACAGCACAAATCATCAAGGAATCCAGCATGATGACAAGTAGTAGGCATTAAAACCATCTTTTGAATGCGTTTATCTGACAACCTATGTCTGATGTTTTGTATAATGGGAACTTATACTCGGACTCAAATAACAAAAACACATGTAATTACTCGCAGGTTTGAGTTTATGCCACAGTCACTTAAAACTTTTAATTCATTCCAATTATTCCATATTCATAACTGTGCCGGATACCGATGATTGGGCAAACCGGTCACATCAACAACATGGGACACGTCCCATGATTTTGAACACTACTGAGTGATCAAAATACAACCACTGGCACCACAGAGTGCACAGACCCAAGACTAAGCTGGGTACAGAGCCGAAGCTACAAAATACAACCACTGGCACCACAGAGTGCACAGACCCAAGACTTAGCTGGGTACAGAGCCGAAGGTACATGCATGTACCTGTAAACCAAAACAAGTGGTTCCAGGCCATATCCATCTAAAACGTGATTACCTCAAATTAACTGCTGGATTGTAACTTATAAGATACTGATGTGATAAATTATAGCTAGTTACAAATGACACAGAAGGATGATTACTATCAATGCAGTAATGTTGTTAAACATGTCCGCCGGCCTTAATACACCGGACATAGTACTTTAATTAATAGTAAATTGAATCGGGTATACCTCTATTTACTTCTGAAATTACAGGTATGCACACGTATGTAGGACAAAAGCAAGTAGCCGATAACCTCCATTGTCCAAATCGACCTTTATAATCACGCCCAAGAAGTGGAAGCAAAAGTGCCAATGTGAAATCAGCACAAGCTTTATACAGCCTGAAATTAAAGGTGGGAGTCACCGACAACTTAAAAGGAAAATATCTTACAAGTTGTAATTGCTTCTAGGAGAGGCGAAACCAATAAAACCCATTTTGGAAAAATAATAGTACTCTAGAAGCTTTCCAAATGGCGCCATGAAAAAGTGTGAGATACATTGGCCACATCACCTATCTCTTGCTCCCGTGGCCATACATAAGTGCACCAGGAAACTAAAGCGCACACAAGTTGTCAAATAATATAGAAAGCCATAAGGGGCATGCTTTGTGATAATTACAAGATTGTTAAACACAAGAATGTTTTGTCCTTCACAAAGGAGGCATAAAGTACTGAGGTAGTGTGTTTTACAAGAACACAGTTGTGGAGAAAGTATGCCTACATTTACATAGCTTGCCCAAAAATGCTAGCGGCACCTTTTCTGGGTCAGACACATACCTTGTGATATATACATTTAATTATACATTTCTAATTTCAGCTGGAACAGCATCGCTTTGTTGATACAAGTCACAAGCAATGATGTCATTAACATGCCTATAAGAAACATCATCGATCCTGTTCGTCAACTTGATCAAACTGTAACTCAAACAATTGACCGACAGCAAAAATATGATGATTACCAATGCAACACTCTGTTTCAGTTTAGATGACTGCTTTCTGATGTAAATCATTTGTTAAGAAGACAAACTGCAAATCTGGCCTATAAAAAGTTGCCCATTAATTCGGGCTGTCAGTTCAATTGTACGTATACGGATGCCAAATCTGAGATACCATGCACTGGTATCTACCAATCTCTCAGAGCTCAATCCCTGCCAGAATCCAAATAAGAACCATGAATACGACAGTGACACATCTGCCACTGTAAGACCATTGCTTAATTGAACGTTCAAGAGTTCATGCCAAAACGCTGATCAATGTGTCTTGTACTGTCGCAGCTCAGTAAACACACGGTACATCCACATAGAGCAGTTTTCGATGGAGGGAAAATTCCACCATGCTGCGACAAATGACAGCATCTCCATCCAAGTTTGTTCGTGCAGAGTGCAGACCTTGCCAAGATCTGCCTGCCATCGTGCTTTCACAGTAATGAGTTCCTGCCTTCAGAGAACCAACTCCTGATGCGTTGTATCCATTTAACCTTTGCATCCTGCAAACAGAAAAATACTCAAGGCAGCAGCTATCCATATTGCAATGTATGGTTCATTGAATTGTATTTTTATTTTATTTTTTAATTTGATTTAATGTCCTCTTATGATGTCATGATCTAGTCTGATACCAAAAACTGAAGAGAAGTCAACTAGTCATGATAGTGGAGCTGCTTAGGTCCATTTTTGGCCAAAATCGTGCACTTTGTGGTAAAAGCATGAAATTTGGCATGTGGGGTCAAAATGGGCTGGGAATCATTTTAAGATCGGGAGCCATCCTGGATCTTGCCCATTTTGGGGGTGGGGCTTGATTTTTTGAAAAAGGGGGTGCAAAAAATTTAAACTCACACAAAGTGTATTTAACATCCATTTTCCTTGTTTTTCTATGGTTTGACATAAGCTTAAACATAAAATAAGACATTCTAGCATTTTAACACCTGTTATTTTCCACCCATTTTGTGGGCGTGGCCTACATTTGTAAAAAGGCGGGGAAGGACTGGCAAAGATTACATTTTGGAAAAAGGAAATGCTGGAATTTAAGATCGAGTTCATATCCTGTATAGAAATATGACAAATATGGATGTTTTCTAATCTTCATCTCAGTGTATTCATGCTCCAACAATGATATAATTATGATAAGATATGATTATCATAGTAATGATGTTAGTAGCAGCCAACTCTTGAGGGCGCTTTTCTGTTTTACAATCCAACATGGCAGCCTCCTTGAGTGTTTTCTGCTGTGTTGTTTTCAGGTAAGTTTATGAATTTGTTTGCTTTAAATTATAGTTTGAGTTCATTTTTCTTTTATCAGAATGAGTGTAAACGACTATAGATTTGTTGTGGATCTAGAAAGGTTTAGGAATGGTTCAGTAAAAAAGTGAAATGCAGATTTAACTTTAACAGTTAGGCCTAGCCTAGGGCTAATTCTTTTGTAATGACGATTGCGTAGTCACGGGCCCCTCTTTCGTTTTGGTCAAGTTTAAGTCAAGAGTGTTTTCATCGGCATGCCATTCCAAAATGATTTCTGCACCCAACAACAGACTTCTCTGGATTTGAAAGACACCTTTCTTCTTAATGTTTAACAGAATCTAATGTTGAACAGAATCTACAAATGTGACATTCTTACAGTTGATGCTATGCGAATTAACACCGTTTTGCTCACTAACGGTTTGTCGCGATGATCGTCATCTTTATTTTTATATTACATGTTGCTGTCTTTCTTGTCGTTTTACTTAAAATTATCCTCAAAAATAAAAATTCTACGCTCTATCGACAGCTCTCCTTTTGGTTTAGATTTTGCTAACTAGTTTGGTGATAACGATAAAGGAGATTATTGTTCTCTTATTCTAAATACAGAGCCTACACAATCACCCTGTAATTTGTATTGTTTCTGTACTCAGCCCATCACGTTGACATCCATACTGCAGCAGGCCTAATTATATAGAAAGGTTGAAAGGCGGTCATAATTTTTCCTTGGAAGCCTAGCCTATACAGCCTGGAGCCCTGGTTCTTGTGATAATAATAACAGCTCTCACCACGACGTGAGTACTCTCTCTATTAAAATTAATGTTATAAATGTAAGGGCGTTTTCCATTTCTTTAAATTCTAAATGATAGCATCCATTCTCACAGTCATAGCTTAAATGAAAAATTGAGTTTTATTTTTTAATAAATAATAATGATTGAGAATGACTGTACAGTGATTGTACTATTTGTACATGTGTGTCCTAGAAAATTCCTGCTAGTTGCGCAACTATTGAATGAAGAAACCACTTTTGATTTTTAAGTTTTCTGTATCATTTTTTGTTTCGTTTTCCAGACTACAATTCACGTGTATCCAGTACCACATGGTAGGCCTATCAAAAAATAGTCACAGAATCAGATTGTATTCATTGAAGACTAGCATATGCACCTAGCTGGAGGAATAGCTGTAGGTGGTAGTGATAATATCTACCGCTCTTGTAGATGTAAGTAACATCCAGTTTGGGTATTTTTCCTTTTTGAGGGGATAAAATATTCAAGATGGCAGCCTCCATTATTGTATTCTTGTACATTTGTCTCATGAGTGTAGGGGATCATTTTCAGCATTATATAATATCTGTGACTGAGCTGTTCAGAACTCGGTGAATTAACCTGAAAATGTAATTATTATATCTTATACATCCACCATCCAGTAGTGGTTAAGGATATTACAGACTAGGAGTTTTGGATCATTTTTCTGAATTGTTAAATAGATATAATAGTTGCTGGATCGATCTGCCAGACATGTCACATTTCATTGTCTTGAAAAAAATGCTGGAATTGCCCATGATCTTTTTTGTTTGATTTGTCCATTAAAATTAGTTTGAAGTCTAATGTAGATTAGAAATGCCCTGGAAAGTTTTAGGCCCCCCCCCCCCTAAGGTAAAAACCATTTTTTTTTATCTATGGTCTTCTGTATTCTTATTACATTTCAGACCGCCCATTCACAATGTGCATCCAGTACTACAGTAATCCCAGCCTAGCATAGTCACAGGGATAACAATGTTATTCTTGGAGGCCTAGCCTATGCATCCCGATTGCCTAGCTGATGGTGGTGATAGAAACATTGATTACTTTGGGGAACCACTACATGTATACTTGAAAGCGTATATCTGATACTAGAGTGCATGGCCGGTAGTGGTCTATAACCAATAACCATGCCCAAACGTCTTGTACTGGTTGATGAAAATCAACCCAGCACATCTAAATTGCAAAAAGCTTCAACAACCTGGGAACTTTGTGCTTTATGTCAACGTGACAGTGAGGAAACATTGCAGTGTCCGGCAAAATCTACTAAGAAAGAAACCGAGGGCCTCGGATACACATCTTTCACCCACAACCTTTCAACATTCCAGGAGTTAAACTGTATGCCTATGGACATAGATACCGGAAGGCTTGACGAAGGCCCAGGCATAGAGGCAACTCTCTCAATGAATTCTGCAGTATGGCACAAAAGTTGTTTGCTGAAATTTGGTAAAATAAAGTTGAAGCGAGCCTTCAAAACGAGATCCTCAGAAGAAAATGTATCTGATCCTCGGCCAACAACCCGGCGGGCAAGTGGTGGGAGGCAATTGGAGTACGAGTCAGTGTGTTTTTTCTGCGAAGAACCAGCTGGAAAAATAAATCTCCATCAAGCTTCCACGTTCGATTTGGATTCAAGGGTTCGAAAATGTGCCCTTGAACTACAAGATACCAGGCTTCTTCACAAGTTGGCTACTGGAGATATGATAGCTATTGGAGCAAGATATCATGCCAAGTGTTTGGTAAGCTTGTACAACAAGGTATCCAGAGTAAATAAGTGTGAGCAAACTGAGGGACCTGATGCTCATCTCCATGGTATTGCATTGGCAGAACTTGTTGCTTACATTGAAGATTTCCTCAAGGAAGCAGATGCATCTCCTGTCTTCAAATTATCGCATCTTGTTGCCTTATACCAAGAGCGACTTGAACAGTTGGGTGCATCAAGTGGCACAAAAGTCCACAGTAGCAGGCTGAAAAATCGCCTACTGGCAGTCATTCCTCATCTCACAGCTCACACAGAGGGTCGTGATGTTCTCTTGACAAGTGACCATTTTCTTGGTGCTGCTTTGAAGAAGGCATGTGACTGTGACAATGATGCCATGTACTTGGCCAAAGCCGCATCAGTTGTACGTCGTGAAATGTTCACGAATCAACTATTGTTCACTGGATCATTTCAAAGAGGAAGTCAGCAAAATTCTGTTCCTCCCTCTTTATTGGCTTTGGTGAGAATGATACAGGAAGGGCCCAATATTGAGCAACAGTCAAAACTGGCATCTGGTAACTCCTCAAGAACACCGTCTGCCTTATCAATATCCCAACTTTTGATGTTTAACAGTGTCAGAAGAGCACCAAAACCTCAAGAGAAAACAGACGTCAACTTGCGCCATAGACGGGAGAGGGAAACACCCTTGACATTGTACATCGCATTAAAGTTGCATGGTGAAACAAGAAAAAGAAACCTAGTGGACACATTCTACAGTTTGGGAATGTGTGTTTCCTATGACAGGCTTCTGCAGCTTTCATCAGACTTGGCAAATGGAGTTTGCAAGCAATTTGAAGCCGATAACGTTGTGTGCCCACCCAAAATGCGTCATGGACTTTTCACCACAGCAGCAGTTGATAATATTGACCATAATCCTAGCTCCATGACAGCTCAAGATTCGTTCCACGGCACAGGCATTTCTCTCATGCAGCATCCATCACATGCCTATACTGGCGTTGACCGTAGTCTTCTTCTGATCAGCAAAGAAACCACAAGCACTACCAAAGCAGTTGTCTCCCTACCAACCTTCTACTCGTCTGTACCACCAGCTGCTTTGAAGACAAAGGAATTCATTGCACCAGAAGTTGCTGGGTACGAGTATGTACGGTCCGATCACCTTCAGGCAGTGAATAAGGCAACTTCAGACGAAAAACAGTGGATGGAAACGGTACAAAGAGCCTTGACGAAAGGTGTTGATGGTGATACACCATGGCTATCATGGGCAGCGTACCATGCAAGCAGACAGCAAGAATTAACCCCCCCCCCCCCTCCAGCAATCAACGCCTTAATGCCACTCTTCCCAGATAGCGCCCATTCTGTTGGGATGATCAAGCATTCAATGAATGTTGTTAGTGCTGCTGTTCGGCATCTAAACCCAGGCCAAGTACCCATTCTTACGGCAGATCAACCTTTGTTTGTCCTTGCCAAGCAAGTGCAGTGGTCCTGGCCTACAACGCATGGAGAGGACTCCATTGTTATGATGCTGGGAGGTCTCCATATTGAGATGGCAATCCTCAAGGTAAGTTAAAAATTCAAAACCAGTAGATCACTAAAGAGCAAAAGAGGGTGGCCTGTATCCCGCACAATTTGGAGACGACACAAATATTTTTGTTTTGCTTTTTATAATTTGAAACCTAAAATGAGTCCAAAGTGACACCTGCAATTTAGACAGTAGTTAGGCTACTGATTATAAGGCAATGTTTTTGTCTTGTTTTGTTAATTATAAATTCTTACTTTGTGAATAAAATTCAAATGAAATCAAGGATCGTTCTGGTCTCTTCATAATAGTGGCAGATCCAGATTTTCTGGGGAAGAGATTTTGCACTAAGCCTCACGAAGTAAATTAGTTTTCACAATTTCCAAATGGGTGTCATTGCTAATGATTTATGATGATTTCCACATTGAACATTATGTGTCCATTCAAATATTCTTTTTTTTCATAACATTTATTTCATTGGAAAAAAGAAGGGGGACGCCTAGGATTCATTCAAGGGTTATACAATCAAGGCTTGCTTTAACATTTTCCATTTTTAATTTGTTTTATAACAGCTCATTGGAGAGTGGCTGGAAGATAGCGGTTGGACGAATGCCTTGACAGACGCTAATATTGCAAGCTCTGGCACATCGGATTCTTTCATTCGGGCACACCACGTCACATCAAGTTACTGCAGCAAGTCTACATGCACTCCTCAATGATGCTTATGGTGGAAGGTGCATGGAAGGAGCAGTTTGCAGTGCTACAGGTGCCTTGCAGGCTCTAAGCTTGGATGAGTGGTGCATGCAGGAAGCACGCAAGAGTCCTCAATTTGACTACTGGCTGAAAGTTCTGTCCTTGGAGGTCAAGCTGCTGATGTTTGTACGTTCCATCCGTGAAGCAAATTTCGATTTGTACGTCCAGTCCCTAATCCAGCTCATGCCCTGGTTTTTCGCTCTTGATCACACGAATTACTCTCGCTGGCTTTCTGTCCACATCCGTGACATGATAGTATTGGAGCAAAAGCATCCTAGTATCGCTGCAGAATTTCGTGCTGGAAAGTTTGTCGTTCACAAATCAGGAAACAAGTTCTCTGCAATGGCAATTGACCAATGTCATGAGCAAAACAACGCTCTTGTTAAAGGTTCAGGTGGTGCTGTCGGCCTTACAGAGAATCCAGGTGCACTACGGCGATGGATGGTTGCAGGTCCTGAGGTGGCAAGGGTGTTATTGGAGTTTGAGGAAGATGGCTTGTCTACATCTAAAGAGTCAAATGAAAGTGATGATCATCATGAGCAGTTTGCGTCATTTCAACAACGCTTCTTGAAGGACGTCCAGTCTTTGAAAACCGTGATGGAGGAGTTTGGCAATCCTTTTTTGGAGACGAGTAAGGATCTACTTGTTTTGGAGACAAAAGACATCATGGAAGATTCAGTAGTGGCAACTGTTAGAAATGTTGAAGGAATTGGACAAGAGCAGTACAATTCATTCGTCGAGGAGAGACTTGTGAAGTGCACAAAGCCAGTAACCGACAAATTGGCCAAGAACAAGTTGCCACGATTTAGCAGTCCACCTGTAAAAAAATCATCAGGACATAAGTTTCAAATGCAGTCACTGAAAAATGATTGCAACCTGTTCTCAAGACTGTATGTTGCATGTCAAGCTAGGGATGGTGATTTAGACCAATTCTTTGCCCACGAAAACCAAGCATGGCCACCTTCACTGTCGCACAGAGGACAACAGCGACTTGGTACAAAGGCAAAGCTGATGTCCTGTTTGGAAGCAGGTGTAGCTACATGCAGTGAGTCAGGAGTAGTCGATGCGGTAATCCTTGATGGTGCAGCTGTAGTGCAGTTGCTGGTGCCTAAACCAGTAAAGACTTTCCTGGAGTATGCACAGCAGGTGGTTTTTGCATATGTTCTGAGGCACCTGGAGAGCACCATGAGGCTGGATATTGTATGGGATGTGTACCGTAAAGACAGTCTAAAAGCTACAACAAGGCAAAAGAGAGGAAAGGGAATCCGCAGACGTGTGGTCGAAACATCAAGAATACCAAAAAACTGGAAAGACTTTCTGAGTGTTGATGAGAACAAGACAGAACTCTTCAGCTTTTTGACAAGGCAAGTCACTGTATTGGAGATCCAGGGCAAGGAAATATATGCCACACAACAAGAACATGTAATGTGCTCTCCATCCGTGCTTGATGTTAGCATGCTTACCCCTTGCTCTCATGAAGAAGCTGATTCCCGCATGATGTTACATGCAGCAGATTCTGTGAGAAAAGGACTCAGAAAGCTCCTGGTTCGTACAGTTGACACAGATGTGGTTGTGCTGACAATAGCAGTAATGGATAAGATAAAACCTGACGAGTTCTGGGTGGCATTTGGTGCAGGAAACAACTTCCGATTTGTGCCGGTTCACAGCATTGCAGCATCAATTGGTCCAAGAAAATCAGCTGTACTCCCAGTATTCCATGCTTTTACCGGCTGCGATAATGTCTCTTCATTTACAGGAATAGGGAAGAAGACAGCATGGGATATTTGGAATGTCTACCCAGAGGTCACAGAGGCATTTGAGGAGATGTTAGGCATGCCTGATACCCTAAGCCACAAATCACTTAGGTTGGTGCAACGCTTTGTGGTACTCCTGTATTGTAAAACGAGTGAAGAGGATGATGTCAATGCTTCCAGAAAACATCTATTTGCCAAAAAGTCTCGATCACTAGAGAACATCCCACCGACATTTGCTTCACTTGAGCAGCACATCAAACGCACCTGTCTCCAAAGTAACTGTTGGAATTTGTGCCTGCATCCCAACCCACAGCTGCCGAGTCCTTCTGACTGGGGATGGACTGAAGTGTCTGGAATGTGGCAACCATTCTGGACCACTCTGCCAGAAGCATCAAAGATCTGCTCTGAACTATTGCACTGCAGCTGCAAGAAGCCATGTAGAGGACGCTGCAAGTGTGGGAAAGCTGGACTGAGGTGTACTTCGTTGTGTGCCTGCTCGGGGGACTGTCATCAGGAGAAGGAAGAATAGGCAAAATGCTGGGTGAGGTAACTTGTCTCTGTGATATTACTGAAATCCTTTCCTTCAAATTATACGCAGCAAAAGTTGAGTGCCTGCTCAGGGGGCTTGTGAGGAGTAGTAAAAATAAACAAAATTCAGGGGGGGGTGGGTACCTTGTCTCTGTGACATTACCTAAATCATTTTCTTCAAATGATACTCACCAAACGTAGGCTGAACCTTAGCCTATAACATTTAAAAATAAACCACGTCTCTCACAGAGATGTAATACCTTTATTTGTAAACATACCGGTAGCCCTAGGTATGAAACATTTTTGAGGACTCTAGATTTTAGCTGCATTCAGTAAAGAACATTTACAAATATTCAACCCCACTTAGCTCCACCTGTAAGGGTAGGTCGCTCTTTTTACAATTGCGTTTACAATTTAAGTTGCAGTTTTGTGTTTGTATCACATAAATGCAAATTTTGCGCATGCCTCAAATGAATCAGAAAGCTCCAATTGTATACCCTTCTTTGGCAAATATAAGCCTCCTTTACATATATAGGCCACGCCCACAAAAAGGATGAAAATAAAAAGTGTTTTAATGTTGGAATGCTTGTTCTCATGTCTAAGTTTATTTCAAAGCATAAAGAACAAAGGGAAATTGACATTAAATACAGTTTTCGTGATTTTCGTTATTTGCACTCCCCTTTTAAAAAAATCAAGCTCCGCCCCCAAAATGGGCAAAATCCAAAATGGGTCCACCTCTTAAAATTTTTTTCAGCCCATTTCCACTAGACATGCCAATTTTCAAGATTTTACCACCAAACTGAATGGTATTTCTCATATTGAAACCAAATTGCTAATATATACCACCTCTTTTAAAATGTAGGCCACGCCCACAAAATGGGTGCTAAAATAACAGGTGTTAAAATGCTAGAATGTCTTATTTTATGTTTAAGTTTATGTCAAACCATAGAAAAACAAGGGAAATGGATGTTAAATACACTTTGTGTGAGTTTTAATTTTTTGCACCCCCTTTTTAAAAAAAACAAGCCCCGCCCCCAAAATGGGCAAGATCCAGGATGGCTCCCGATCTTAAAATGATTCCCAGCCCATTTTGACCCCACATGCCAAATTTCATGCTTTTACCACAAAGTGCACGATTTTTCGCTTAGCAGCTCCACTATGAGGAAAAGATAATCACAAACAGGTCGGTACGGAATGCCAACCAAGTAAAAACATATTTATGAAATGGTTTGAATTCAATTGATCCTCAAAAGTCAAATGTAAATAATAATAATAATAACAGAAGGTTCTTATAAAGCCCACATATCCTAGACAAAGCCATATTAAAGATGCTTGACAACAATTGACACAATTAATTAATTAATGACCTCTGAATAGTTCTGTTTTCACACAGGGATTGAAAGTAAAGACAATGATGATAGAGTGAATGTGGTGTAGTGCTATTAAACAAGACCTATGTAGCATGTTAGGTGACAAAGACAATTTGGAAATAAATACAAGAAGCCAGCCACGAACTAGCATAATCCAAACACAGTTGCTCTGAGTCACAGTATGTGATTCCCTCAAATAATGCTGAAAATTAGTTAATGTAGAAAACTATAATTAGCATTGAATGCACATGTAAAACGTGATTACCTAAAATTAACTGCTGGATTGTAACTTATAAGATACTGATGTGATAAATTATAGCTAGTTACAAATGACACAGAAGGATGATTACTATCAATGCAGTAATGTTGTTAAACATGTCCGCCGGCCTTAATACACCGGACATAGTACTTTAATTAATAGTAAATTGAATCGGGTATACCTCTATTTACTTCTGAAATTACAGGTATGCACACGTATGTAGGACAAAAGCAAGTAGCCGATAACCTCCATTGTCCAAATTGACCTTTATAATCACGCCCAAGAAGTGGAAGCAAAAGTGCCAATGTGACATCAGCACAATCTTTATACAGCCTGAAATTAAAGGTGGGAGTCACCGACAACTTAAAAGGAAAACATCTTACACGTTTTCACACAGGGATTGATAGTAAAGACAATGATGATAGACTGAATGTGGTGTAATGCTATTAAACAAGACCTATGTAGCATGTTAGGTCACAAACACAATTTGGAAACAAATACAAGAAGCGGCCCCACGCAGTAATCATGGTTACCAGCAACGAACTAGCATAATCCAAACACAGTTGCTCTGAGTCACAGTTTGTGATCCTCTCAAATAATGCTGAAAATTAGCTAATGTAGAGAACTATAATTAGCATTGAATGCACATGTAAAACGTGATTACTGAAACACTTTTACATGAACCAGTATTTGAAAAATTGCCACCATGTGCATGTTATCCATGTACATTTGTAAATAAGACAAACAAAAACATATGTGCAAACCGCATCCTTAAAGCAGCTCAAACAGCACAATGCAAACAATCAAAAAGAGCAAAATACCAATTGCTAGAAGAACAGTACGTGTCCTTCATTATCAATATGATGCTGAGGGTCTGCTGCAGACAACTTATTTCCGATGTGGTTTGGCATTCAATCCTTGCAGTCACCTGATTTAACGCAATCGTGCGAGTTATAATTCTAAGAGTAAGAGATGTCCAGGATTCTCGGAATTAGAAAGCAACACAAAACAACAGTAATACTGGAAGCCTATTATCAACGTACTACCCAAATACA